TGTCTAACTTACTGTTGAAAGCTTTCCTGCTAAATAATCCAATACCTCATCAATTCGAGGCAGAGCGTATGAATCTTTAATTGTCCTATCATTCAATTGACGAAAATCACTCCACATGCCATCAACTGTTTTAAATGCTCTTTCACTTCGTTGAACATTGCTGGGGGTACTCGTCTAGAACGTTGTTTGAACGGTCGATCATCCATGAGTTCAATCCTATGCTTAACTCGCGAAGTATGACCTAAATCCAAATCATTTCTTGCAAATATATCACTAAAACTCAATAAAAGTTCATTACCTTTATCTATTTCATCGGTTGTCAAATCACTGGGGTCAATTTCTACTTTACCAAGGACATCAAACTCTTCTACCTTATCAACAATTTGCTGATCTTCAACGTTAACAAGTTGACCGGTGACGCTTCCCGTGACTTTGATCGTTTTCCGACCAATTGCTATGCTGTGTTGGTGACCTACAATTCATCTGTAAATGCCCAGGTTTACCACATCTCCAACACACTGGTCCTGTGTGATAACTATTACGAAAATTCGTAGACGTTCCAAACCTTCTATTTCCTTCCCTTCGAGATGTGCTATCGGAAGATGATTGGACAGGTTGAACAAACTGAGATACAGTCTCCTTCAATTCACCCATTTGAGTAGACAACATCTTCATTATGCTCTTAAGTTCCTTTAACTCTGAGTCATATGAACGACCAGACTATTTAAATCGAACTCGATACGCCTTACCTCAACTCTTAGTTCATCGAAAGTTGTAGGTTGATCGTATTTATGCGAAGATACATCCTTAAAATGAGGTAATAATCCATGCCAAACTACTCTACGGATTGCATTGCCAGCTTCATAGGATTCGAATGCTCACTTTCAGTTGCTTTGGCGAACAAATCTTCGACTCTACATGCCCAAGAAGTGACAGATTCAGCCTCTTTCTGTCGAGCACTATAGAAATTAGCAATCAATGATTCTGATTCTTCACAAATACGGAACACGCTTTTTAGTTTAGCTAATATTCCTTTAATGGTCAGCTTCATATTTCCACAGATCATAACTTACCTCTCCTTTACCAGACTCACCGTAAAATATCGATAGTTTTGGAATCTGATTTCTAGGTCTTCCGTTTCAGTTTCTTCCGACTTATTTGGCCACTTACCTTGAGCTTTTAATGTCTCGCTCATCCAAGACGTTACACCATCTGCAGTATGCACATCTTTTGAAAATATACCCATTTGAACCAAAGTGTCGCAAACACCAACAATATCATCTTCCATAATCTTATCCATAATGCAAATTAAATATAAGAAATCAACATAAAACTGAAAAACCAGCAAATTGAAATACCTCAGCATGCAACTTAATCCTATTATACTGACATGGCCAGATCTGAACCAAATTTGCATACATGGAACGGTACAACCACAAGAACCACATGCGAAACAGAGGAAAACGTGCTAAGTCTGGAAAAGAAAATACAAAATTATATTTTAGTTACTACCTGCATTCATACCGTCGATCACACAATTTCAGTCACTGTTGTCGAAAAATAATTCAGTCATCGTCGTTGCTCCTACACTCTCAGTCAGTCACCTTAATCTTCTATACCATAGCATCTCAATTAAATTATTGATACCGGAACCAAGAAAAAAATATATCATCTTCCTCGAACACAACACAAAAAAACGAACAGGCGTACACACCACATTTGTATCAAACCATCCTCCTCTCTGGGGGCTCCATTGTCGCAGCTAAGATGGAATCTGGGACTCGCCACGTATTTGGGTCGAAGGATGGAATTACAGATTACAGTTTCATACATTTATTACACACATTACATCTAAGAAATACACCACATGAAAGGCGGATAGTCGCGGATATGTGGATATGTGCTAAATACCAATACGGAGGCTTCCAATGCATTCCGCCATTACTAATTAGATCTATACCATCATACCATTAGTAAAAAAAGGACTGGTGCTAAAGTATCACCGACCAAAATAAATATCCCTGAAATGACAATAGATTCTGTTTAACAAATCAATATCTTCGGCGTAAAGTACCTCTAAATATTATTTATAAATATTATCCATAAATATTATCCATAGCCCGCGACTAACATTAAATCATATACAAAACATATTAGAATGAGTGACAAACATTACCTCATCTACTTCGACAATTAGTAGAAGTCACATTAATATACGATCTAAAGAATAAAATATAGTTACCAGTTTGTGGAATAGGACCACAGAAGTTAGCAGCGCACTCCAACTATCTCACATGTGGGTACTGGGCCACTGTAGCCAATTCAAGCTTTATACCAGCAGGTATCCTGATCCAACCAATAGAACAATGCACGAGCTTATTAAAAACTAACCACCGAACAAATAATTACACCATGTGATATACAATCTTGTTAGACAGTACAATCAAATGCATTGCTTACTAACTGATATACAATTAAACACAAATTGGTTTATAATAAGACACAAGTCTTTTCTGTGCACATCAACTAGATTTCAAAACTATGATGTAAGTCGACATAATCTCAGAAAACTAAAATAACGAACGTAACATAATTACAACAATTACTAAATTATATAAACCAAATATAGCAAAACCAGAAATAGTTTACCAATATAGATTTTATAACATATAACCGCATTCTAAGCAGTAATAATACAGAACGTGTTTAAACAATCTGTACTCAATGTTACATGGTACAAAACACATACTATTGCATTAACTATGCTGATACGTCGATGATGTGTTTGGTGCGTCACTTGGTCTACGACCGTCCCCATAGATAATATTACACCAGGTATAAGTGGAGAAAAATTAACTGAATTAGAAACCACACTCAATGATAATAGTGAAACAACTTCTAAATGTAGTAGATAAAACTCAATTACAAACTTTAGCTTCATTAATATCCAAATTAGATGATAAGATTAAAAAACAAAAAATAGATCTTAAACAACTAATAGATAATATTAATCCAGGTATAAGTGAAGACAAATGGCAACAGGAATCAACTGCGCTAGAAACTAAATTTAAAACAGAATTACAAAAAGAACTAACCAATATTAATCAACTGATACAAAATATTTATGATAGCGAGATTCAAAAACAGATAACTACTATTAATAACGAAGTTTTAAAACATGAAAAAAATATGGTCACATTAGAAAAACATCTCAAGGAAAATAAAAAAATCATATTATTTCAATCTTCCAGTTTTCCGTGTGAGAAATACTGAGCGTATTCCTACAGGTGAAACAACATATCAGTTGGAAGGATATGGATTTATATTAAAAATAAAAGTATTTTCATATATAAGTGGAAACGTTAAAAATATATTTGATGATTCAGAAAACTGTAATTTCCGAGGTAAATCTCTAATTGAAATTCTTTTTCCTGTAAAAGTTAAAATCGATTCAATCTTCTTCTCTCATCCATCTAACTATTTGAAGGCTCGTACGATTTTCGAATTTATCAAAGATGGTGAATATGTTGAGAATAAAGATTTGGAAGTTAATGATGAAAACAACAAGCCTAATCATATGTATGAAATTAAAACAAATGAAAAATATATAGAAACCTTTAGAATGTTAATAATACCAGACAATGACAACGATATTCTTTCAATAGGTGATTTTGATATGATATTAAAGACGGAAAGCTCACCACCGATGAACATTATTAGAAATTCAACTCCACAAAAACCACACACAATAAAGAGTTATACGTTTTTAAGAACATCAGACTTTGAATATGTAAAACTATATTTTGTTAATACTAGTTTTTCACTCAATGTATGAAAATATTATCCTGATTTATTTACCTCAATTGATATTCACAAAAGTCAACAAGATAAAGAATTTATAATATTTTAATCAATAATTGAACATCATGAAAGAGATAGTAATATAGAAGTTGGTGGTATATATACTTGTAGATGTAGTAAAAAAAAATTTACACTTCATCTACATAAGATTTTTGATTCGAAAGAAGAAATATCATTAGTATCTGTAAAAGTTACTATTTATTGAACAATATCTAACTTTTAAGTGATCAGAAATTCCTTGTAATAAAGGAAACACGAAGTGATACTGAAAGTATTTCACAAAGTGAAACACAAAGTGATACAGAAAGTATTTCACAAAGCGAAACACGAAGTGATAATTCAAGAAGTGATAACATAATTGATTTATTCAAAGAATACAGCGCAAGCACAAAAAACAAAACAGAAGTTAATTCAAAACTTAAAAAAAATAAACTGTAATAAACTAATTTCATTTGATGCTAACGGTTTGTACGCTTCAGCAATGTCAGATTTAGACAGTGAATATCCAAAAGCAGAAAGTGCTAGACCGTTTCTACCAGGAGAAAATAAAAAATTTGTAAAACTCTTCAATAAACAAAATTTTAGACCTAGAACAGCTATTTTATCAGTGTGGTTTGAACATGTTCTTCCAACCAATACCAGCTAAAGATGGTATCACTTTCACGAATAAAGAAGGTAAACAGGAAACTGGCACTAAAATCAGGTTTAGAAATGGAAACTCCACCATATAGAAATTATATTTTAATTTTGAGAGATCTAAGAATAAAAATAAACGAGAAGGTAATATGGTTGGTAGTAATTGCATGAAATTATTAGGTAATTCCTTGTATGGTAAATCTATTCAGAGGGATAGAAACACGAGTTATCATGATTTTTTGCCCATTTTTTATTCTTTATTTGTATTCCAAAAATCACTCCTTCTCCCTTATACTTTCAAAGAATGATTCCCTCTCCAGAACGTATGTTTTAAAAAATATAG